CTGTTTGCTGAACTTCTCAAGTTCATGGGATGCATCTGGCTGTGCCGTGTATAGTTTGATTTTAAAATATCGATCTCTCTTCATGGTTTGAACATCTGACTAGTCATTTGGAGTCTAAATGGGCAACTTTTAGAAAAAAGTTCTTTAACTTCAAATGTCTGTATGGGACAGTCCTACTTGAGGTCCTTTGGAAGGAGAAACAGTGGGAGCGATCCCTTGTGGTCCTCATTTGGGAAGCTAATGGGAGCAGCTGGGATCTCACGCAACTCCCATTCACCCCAGTGGATCTCACGGTGAAGCTTTTCCAAGTGGATGTGCATTGTTGTGTATTGCCCAGATCACCAACATCTTGCATGAGAACCATGTAGTTCTATATGTAAGCATATACAGATTAGTATATCAATGGCATGTGGATGACATGACATTGATACTTAAAGGGGCAACGTGATCTCCAAGCCACTTCAGCCAATCTCATGAATGTGCCAAGCTAGATAAACTTTGAAGATCTTCCTTTCCTCTTTAGATATTTAATTTTCCCCAAACCTCTATGCAATGGAAACATTTCTTTCCATCTAGCAGACTATTATGAATCTCTAAAGCTACCCCTAGAAACAGGGGTAAGTTTTTGCAAGTGGAGTTGTGTGAAAACAGAAGACAGACAATTCAACATGTCTAATCATCACTTTTCCAGCATAATTCTTTTAAATAAATCAGTCCTTTTTTCTTTCCCCATATATAATGAGCATGTTATGCTAAGATTCTAGAGATGTGCATGCAGTGAAGTTTGACACCTTCTTTGAGTTTATGTTTAACGTTGATGCGGGAGGACTTTCCATGCATGCCTTTAGGCGTGGGTGATTCTGACAAGCCCTGATTCAGTTTCCAATGCTTGTGCTTCGATTGGTTTGTGATGAAGGCTCTTAACTTGGAAACCCGGAGATGTTCTCTTTCTGATTGTGATTGCAAATTGCACAGGGCTTCACTAATCTTACTAAGGTGCAACCGCATTCCACACGACTGAGTGTAAATGCCTCTGAGCACATCAGTCGGACAACTCGGAACCCGGAAACCATCGTGGGGAACCCTGGATGGGTGTATCCTGCTTTGAGCGAGCGATGCTTATGAAGACCGCTCAGCCACTCAGTCCAAGGGCCTCTTGGATAGGGAGCTGACTCAGGCCGCAAGCCCATCCCCGCCTGAGAGAAGAAAGCGCCGCTTCTGAGCAGAAATGCGCAGACTTGTGCTGCTCATCACGTGGTCCTCACTAACTTGACCCATCCTAACTAAATGGTGGATTGGTCTCGCATTCGGTTTTCTGCACAGCAGCCGAGTGACAGGGGATAACTTTACTGTGACAAGAAAATGAGCACTTTTCTCATGGCATCAGAGTCCGTGAACCGGAGTCACTTCCTCACGGATGCATTTGGGGCACTCGAACAACCAGGGGCAGCATGGTCCCTAGTTCACAAGAACTTACACCCCACTCGAGTTGAGAGTCTTCAGTGCTAGAGTTGTTCTACTGGAGCAGCACAACCTAGCCACCCCACTGGCGAGGGGATCGCAGCGTGCCCTTCCCTGCTAAAGCAAGATCCCGCATTAAAACACCAACAGTTTTTCGTGCTCTGCACTTGAGCAGGCCTGCCAAGTGGCCTCCGCTGGCAACACAGTTCTGGATTCACTACACCCAATGGCGAGGCTCTCCAAGTTAAATGTTTACAATCCCCCTGCATGACCCTCACCCGCCTGGACAGTGAGGCGTGAATGTCACCCCAAGTGCGTATGGTCATCCCTTTTCATGGGAGCCTCTTCTGAAAGCTGTATCGTTATCGTTGTCGTTGTCATTATCGCATTTATGCCTTTTGCAAGGAACTTAAGGTGACTTGAATGAGCCTCCCCCTTTTCATTTTATCCTCACAACAATCCTACGAGGAAGCCTAGGCTGAGTGGGAGCTCAGAATCTGGCTCTCCCTGGTCCCAGTCCAGTGCTCCCCTCCAGGCGGCACTGGCGCTGGGATTTGCCAACTGGCAAACAATTGCTCCATGCGTTCTGCATAAGGAGCCATCAGCACAGGTTGCAGAAAATCTGATCAAGTGCAGAACCAGTTCCACCCGGGCTGGGGATGAGATGGAGGAGGAGATGGAAGCTGCCTTGAGCCCTTCGTAGGAAAAAGGCAGGATATAAATCGAATAAATAAATAAATAAATAAATAAATAAGACAGCACCCATAATTCTAAGAGGAAAGACAAGCTAAATTCAATCTGGTTTAAATGTGTTCTCTAGCCAGAGATTTCTGCTTCCTGGGAGCACCTGCCCTAGTTTTCTATAAAGAGCAGAAGTGTAACACTTATTTCTTTTTCTGAAATTTTCAGAACATTTTCTGCAGCCCATGCATTTCAATGGAATACGGCGGTACCCTCTCCTTTTCAATGTGACCATCCCTTACCATGAGAAGATAACCATGGCTGAACTGAGGCTGTATACCCTGGTGGAAGAGGACAAAATGCTCTACGAGGGACTTGATAGAAAAGTCACCATTTTTGAAGTGCTGGAGAGTCATGGAGGAGGGAGAGGAGAAGAAGAGTGGGAGACGAAGGTGCTGGCGTCCAGACACATTTACAGCACAGACAATGAGTGGAAAACATTTGAGGTCACGGAAGCTATCAGGAGGCACCATCGGTCTGAGACCACGACGCACCGGCTGGTGGTGCAGATGGAGAACAGAGGGGGCTCGGACCCCAATGGAGGAGGGAAGGTAGACATAGACATCACGTCAGAGAACAAGCACAAGCCTCTCCTGATCGTGTTTTCGGACGACCAAAGCCACCACAAGAAGGAGGGGAAGGGTGAACTGAGCGAGATGATGGCCCATGAGCAGATGCAGGCGCTCCAGAGCGCGAATGGCGTCCACCCCAGCCTCAGCGAGGAGAAGCTGCTGCAGATGCGATCCAACATTATCTACGACTCAACTTCCCGGACACGGAGGAATGCCAAGGGGAGCAGCTGCAAGAAGACGTCACTCCATGTGGATTTCAAGGAAATTGGCTGGGATTCCTGGATCATCGCGCCGCCGGGGTATGATGCCTTCCAGTGCAAAGGAGCCTGCAGCTTCCCCCTGGATGACCACCTGACGACCACCAACGCCATGGCACGGACCTTGCTGCACCTGAATGACCCCCAGAAGGCTTCTCCGGCATGCTGTGTACCCACCAAGCTGGCCCCCATCTCTTTGCTCTACCTGGAGAAGGGGGTTGTCACCTTCAAGCTAAACTATGAGGAGATGCTGGTGTCCGAATGTGGGTGCAGATAGTACAGGGGAGCTGCTTGCCACCTTTGGGGTCTCTGAGTAGTTAATCGTCTCTCTGTAAATGTGTACAGTGCCAATTTGTACAGGTGTGATCAGCTTATGAGGTGTGTACAGACGCGCCGAGGTGCAGGATGTGGGAGGCATGGGGTGGGGAGTGCGGAGGGAGCCCAGAGGTATGATGGGTGGATCCCCATGGGGACTTCTCTGCTCAGCCACCCCATAAAACAAACCACCTTGCCCATGGAGAGCTGCCCCACGAAAAGGATTCAGCCTTGCCAGACGCAGATCCGTAGGCAGGAGAAATGCCAAACCCCGGACCACTACTCCTGCAATACGGTCCAGGAAGCACTTAAGCACTTGCTCCTGGTGACTGGTTGGATGGCTGAGAGTTGAGTTTCCACCCTTGACGATGCTCTTCCAAAGGAGAACTGGCAGGATCTCTTGTGCAGGGAAGACATCCTTTGTCAAGATACCACGGAGAATAAAGGACATCAGTGCCTCAGTGATGTGGTGTGTTTGGAGGAAAAGGACACAGCCAGGCTGACACCTGGGCATGCAGGTTGGATGTTGGCCCCCGCACCCCATACACACATGCACTTGTGAACACACACTTTGACTAATGCACAAGGCGTTTAAAAGAGCTGTGTGCCTTCACTCTGTAACAGATAGAAGACAGATGCGTGTTGAGTCACGAGGAACCAACCTGTTTGCACCCGTTCCTCCATGGCACCAGCCTTCCCCAGCCCAGCACCATCCAGAAGTGCTGGACTACCATTCCTATCGTCCCAGCCAGCATGCCCAATGGGAGAGATGGGAGTTGTAGTCAAACATATCTGGAGAAGGCCAACTCTGGGAAGCTCAAGAGAAGCCTCCTAGGCTGCCAGAGGCAAAGGTTCCCCCGGAGACCCATCTGCCTTTTCAGCCAGGCCCATCAGCTCCAGTGCCCATTGTCCAGGGGCAGTCTGTCTGTAAGCTGTCACTGCCATGGGGAGCTACAGGGTGCCGCACTCCAGAACCGTTAAAGGTGGCATCTCCCTGACGGGTTGGGAAACAAATGCCCGACTAGCTGGGTTCTCAGTCTGGTTTAGCAGGATTCGGCTCTTTGGGATGGTCTGTCTCCATAGGGATTGTCCAGGTGTGTAGTTTTAGGCTCACAAAGCTGCAGCTCCCATGTGACCTCCTGCCACTTCAAGCAGAGCCGAAATATATTTGGGGGAAGAGAGGATTTTGCAAGTGCAGCTGGTCATGTGCAGGTGAGGAAGGATCCTCAGTTCGCGCCGCTACGAGAGTTCGCATGTTCCCCTCGCCATTTCAAGGTGAGTCTGGAAGGGCTTAAGCATCTGTGGCACCAGCCTTCCCCAACCCAAGGGAAGGCTGGATGGAGCCCATTGGAAAGCCTACTCAGAAACCATGTGCACAGAGGGATATTTCTGATTTCTTCCCGCTTTGGAGGTGTGGTTCTGGCGACCGTGCACCATAACAGCCAACAGCATGAGGCCGACGGAAGATCAGCAAGGACGCATTTGGCCCTCTGAGACCAGACGTTCCCTGAGCATCCTTTACATGTCCGTTGAAATTCCAGGGGGAAATGTTACTCCCAAGCAAGAGGGAACACCCCCAGAAGCAGGAGGAATGCTTCCTTCGTGCAGCTGTCAATTCACAAGACCATTTTTGCCCTGCTCACCACTTCAGTCACATGTCATGTTTCCACCACTCTTCTCCAACAAATTGTTGTGATAAGAAGGTGTCGGAGCTGCGGAACAATAGCCTGATGCTTTATTTATACTAAGCTGGAAATTGGTCAGATTCTTTGGAAAGTGTAGCTGACGCTGCCTCCCGTGCCCACTGCCCTGTCCCCTGCCTCTGTTTTACGCTTTTAAGGCAAGGCCGTCTTCCTGAAAGAGATAACAGACTTGTCTTTGAGAAAACAGGCAAGGGAATCTGCGCGAAAGATGCGGACGAGGCTCGCACAGACCAGCCTCGTCTGTATCCGTGCTGCCATCTATTTATTGACCTATTTATTGACTCTTGTCTTGTAATATAGTGGAGAATCCAAAACGTTTTATTTTTGTGCATTTGTATCAAGTACACTCGGATAACCCCTGTGCACGGACGCCTTGGCCGGCCAATAGCGATAGCTGAAAAAGTGCTATGGACTTTCTGGGTCATTTTCTTTGTAAATATATTATTTGTTGGCAAATTATAATAATATAATATAATATAATATAATATAATATAATATAATAATATATATCTCTCTCGATGTAATACAAATGCAGTATCACATACATGGCAACTCTTTTGCCAGGCTGGGAGCCAGTCCAGAGGGGATCTCGAGCACAAGGTCCCAAGGCTGAAGCACGGGCCAGTGATCATTTCTGGTTTCAGAGGTGGTGGAAGCTGCCACCACCAAATTCCAACCCTTCCTGAACGAGTGGCCTCTGTCTGGTCTACCAGCCCCAAGACCTGCCCCCAGAATTCCTCTGGCTGGACCAATGCCCGCTGCCAGGGCCACGCAAATTCTGTGCAGAGCTGGGCCCTGCAGGGTGGGACAGATAGAGCCCCTTTGGGGGCAGGCTGCCAGCTGTGGTTGCACCACCAGGGAACACGCCACGCGGCCACCCGGCCCAGGGCCCGCCCTGTCGTCCCCGCCTCTGCCCCAGTCAACTCCACGCCAGGGGTGGGGATCCAAGATGGTGGCACACAGCTCCAGTCCAAAGACTCACATCCAGTCAACGCACGCGGGAGGGAGAAGCACCCTGTTCCGGGGGCAGACCTGGGCCGGAGAGCCCAGTGGCGCAGGGGCAACGGAGGCAAGGGAGCCAGGCTGAGTGGGCCCCCAGGCCTGGCACAACACCTCTACATATTTATTCATTTAAAACTTTTTTAGACCATCCCTTACTGTGTTCTCAGGACAGTTTAACAATAAAACAAATAGAATAAAACACAGCATGCTAGACAAAATCTTACCATTCAACAACAAAACCCCATATTAAAACAATGAAGTCTTAAAACATTGGGCAGATAAAAAGGTTTTCACCTGGCGCCAAAAAGAATAAAGTGATGGCAGGAGAACCTCTCTGGGGAGCGAATTCCACAATCTGGGTGCCACCGCAGAGAAGGCCCTTCTCCGGGTAGCCACCCTCCTAATCTCCTTCAAGGAGGGCTCCCAGAGAAGGGCCTCTGCCCCAGATCGCAAGGGGCGGGCGGCATGTATGGAAGGAGGCGCTCCTTCAGGTATCCCGGACCCAAGCCGTTTAGGGCTTCATAGGTCACCACCAGCACCTTAAGTTGGGCCCAGACTCCAACTGGAAGCCAGTGTAGATAGCAAAGGACCAGCATTATGAGTTCATACCTGGCAGTCCCCGTTAACAACCTGGCAGCTCTATTCTGAGCCAACTAAATACTCCACCAGGAATGAACGGCTGGTAGCAGGAGAGGAAATCTGGCCGAGCACCATGTGTCTCCCGAGGGCTCATCCGAAGGGCAAGCTGGCCTTGGCAGCCCCTTGAGTGCCGTTCCTCTGCTCGCCAGTGAGCTGGCCGTCTCAACTGGGTGGGAGAGGAGCGGGGCCTGCAGCATGGAGCCGGGGCAGAGGCAGGTGTGGAGTAATCCCCTGCACGAGGCCGGGCCCCCCCACCTCAGCTGAGTGTGTGGGGAACCCACTGAATTCAGGAGGGCCCATCAGCTTCTGCAGCGACTTCCGTTCAGATGCCTTTTCAGACCAGGGACCCCATCCTGCTTGCAGGATCTGGGGGCCTACATTCAAGCAAAAGGGACAGGGTCCCCAGCCCAGGCAATCCACCATAGCTCAGCTCCAAACTTTTACTCTCTTGTCTTACATAGGAGAGGCATTTTGCCCTTTTAGAATGGAGGGAAAACTGCCCCAGAGCAGGAATCGCACTGAGCGGCTTGTGAAGAGCGGCTGGGCAGGGCAGGGGCAGGGGTGGGAATCTCAGAAAGCTGAACTAGGATGCGCTCGTCGTCCAGATGGTTTGCACATACCTGCTATGGATGACATAATTAAATGGATAAAACCTATTTAGAACTTCCTGGCCCACAACTAATTCCTGGAAGCCATTCTGATAGGCTTGCTCTTCCCTCTGGAGTTAGTCCCACCTTCCCTGGCACACATGTCTCCTATAGTGATGCTACTGCCAGCCCTTAACCATGCTTGAAGATGCAAACCTAAGATACACCTTTACATCAACTGCAGGACCCTCATCTTTGGCACTCTTGCTGGCCGAGAGAGCAATGTTTGCAGACAAACCAGCTAGGAAGAAAAATCATGGAAGCAAAGAATTTCCTCATTAGACCAAGAATATCACTTTGGAAGACAGCGTTTGCATACATTTCGGTGAATTACAGATTTCTGGTGCCTTTTACAGTGACCCACACGTTCAGACATCAATAGTTGAGAGCTAGAACGCTGGTACAAGGTTGAGCATTTCATTAGATGTTCTTACAGCAACCATCCAAAATGGAAGCCCTTTCATTGGGAAATGGTTGGTTTCCAGCCCTTACTGTTCCTGGATTGCAGGCCTCCTTGACACCTGCCATTAGCTGTTAACCCTTCGATTTGTTAAAAGGAAATGAGAAGGGGGGGGGCGGTTAAGAGACTCTGGTAAGGGAAAACTCAGAAGAGTGAATATGTCTCCATGCTTAGATGGATGGGAAAAGAGCCATTGTTTTGGTCGGAATGAAGCCTGTGAGAGAGAGAAAAGGTATTTCTGGACATGCTTTGAAAGGAGGATCTTCCTACTATTGCCAGACTCGAAGGCAAACCACCTGCTTTGGAGATCCAACGCAGCTTAGCAGACTCAAGGCATTTTCCAAGCATTGCCTTGCCTCGTTTGTGGAGTTTTATGGGGTGGGGGGAGTCCAGATCTTGACCTCTTCTACTGGTAACATTGCCCTCCCTTTCTTCTACTCTCTTGCTTATCTGCAGAAAATCTTTTAAGAGAGAGAAAGGGGAAGAGCAGCACGTTTCCGGGCGCTCCGGAGGCAGCCCGCTCTTGCCAGCCCATTGTGCAAACTGGTTGACGTCACGAAGGTGCCAGGGGCCCACAGGACTAACACGAAAAGATGCCAGCAGAGGCCAGCCTCTGAGCACGCTATCACTCCATGAAGACCCTTCCCGACTTTGACTATTTCCTATTGCACCACTGCCACTGGAGAAGCCCCCAGCTCCGGGACCGATGGAAGGCACACGGAGACGGGGGCAGCGGCTGGGTGGGGCCACTGGGGCGGCGGGGGTGGGCTTGGGTGGACTCCGGGGGACGGTGGAGGACAGGAGGGCCTGAAGGAATGTTGTCCGTGGGGTCGCAGAGGGTCGGACGTGACTTCGCGACTGAGCAACAACAACAACTGCACTGCAAAATTAGGCTGTCTTAACAAGATGACGCCTTTAAAAAACACCAAGAAGGAAAGCGGGAGATTTCCAGTACATCTCCCTGCTCGCATTTGTTGTGCTTTCGCCACATCTTGCTGTCAGATCCCAAAACCGGTCCCATCCCTAGGGCGGATTTTGGCGAGGCCACAAAAGGTGCCACTTTGTGCATTGGCCAGGCTGGCCCACGACAGGCCGGTGCATCATCCACATGCCACAGAACTCTGCCACCCTGGCATGTTTGGCACGGGAAGCAGCAGAGCTTCTCGAAAAGCATTGGCTCAAGGGAGTGTCATAATTTAAGCATCTGGTTCAGACACATGGGAAACTGCAGCACTTCCTTCCAGCAGCATTTCGTGAGCAGTTCTGTTCATGGGATGAACGGTGCAGATGACCTCGGGCCACTGGGCTACACTGGAAAACAAAGCAACACAGCACTGCTTATAAACTTGCTTCATCTGTTTTCACGAATGCACTACTTCCTTAAAAGAAAGACCGACGGACCCGCGTGCACACATTCGAGAAAGCCATGATTCCTAGAATCACAGAATAGCAGAGTTGGAAGGGGCCAAGAAGGCCATCCGGTCCACCCCCTGCTCTTGCAGGACACCTGGTCACACCTTCCCACTCAGAGGGCTGCCCAGTTTCTTTCTGAATGTCCCCAGTGTTTTTATTTATTTATTTATTATTTATTTATTTATACCCTGCCTTTTTCCTGCAAAGGGCTCAAGGCAGCTTACATCTCCTCCTCCATCGTATCCCCACAACAACAACCCTGTGAGGTGGGTTGGGCTGAGAGTCTGTGACTGGCCCAAAGTCACCCAGTGGGCTCCATGGCTGAGCGGGGACTAGAACCCAGATCCTCTGAGTCCCAGTCCCATGCTCTTCACCACTACACCACACTGGAGAGCCCCCACCTCTCCGGGCAGCTGGTCCCACTGCCGTGTTGCTCTGGCAGCGAGGAAGCTTTTCCTGATGCCTGGCCTGAATCTGGGTTGTTGCAACTTGAACTGGTGCTTCTGTGTCCTGCACTCGGGCATCACCAGGAAGAGACCTTGACCTCCCTCTTTGTGGCAGCCTTGGAGGTATTTCTAGAGGGATCTCATGTCCCTCTTCAGTCTTCTCTTCTCAAGGCTGCACATGCCCAGTTCTCTCAGCCTCTCCTCTTGGGGAGCATTTCACTTTTGACGCCCTCCGCTGGAGCCTTCCTACTTTACCTGCGTCGTTCTTAAATCTTGGTGCCCAGAACAGGGCACAGTATTCCAGGTGAGGTCTGACTAGTGAGGAGTAGAGGGGAACTACTCCTTCTTGCAATTTGGAAATGATACTTCTGTTATTGCATCCCAGAATATCTGTCCCTCTACTCTGCAGTGGCAACCCAGAGGCAATGATCATGGGTCGTGTCTGGAACGGAAAATGGGAGCTCTGCTCGGCAGGCCTTGGAAAGAGGGCTTACTGGAGGACTGCCTGAGGGAGGCTCTCGCCCCGGGTTGGGCCGTGCCATTGGGAGCGTGCGGGGGCCATTTCGGGCTTCAGATCAGGGTGGAGCATTCGATGCACCGTCCCTGGGCTCCCTCGATGGGCCCCTTGTTACAGTCTCCTCTAGAGAGGCAAGGAGCCAGCGCACATTTTCCAGGAGGAGGGAATGTGCTGGGAAAAGTGTGGCTCCCTGGCCCCTCAGCCCTGAGCGGTCCTCTCCTCCGTATGTCTGCTACTCATTGCAAACCGGAGAGGTGGGAGGCAGGGCTGCCCAGGAGAACTTTGCTGATAACGTCGCTTCTTCTAAGATTAACGTCCCCTTCGTCACCCCCTCCCCGAAGCTGCTTAACAATGTCACGTTCAGCATTTCGCCTATAGCTG